GTGTGTGTGTGTGTGTGTGGTGTGTGTGTGTGTGTGTGCGTGCGTGCGTGCGTGCGTGCGTGCGTGCGTTCGTTCGTACGCGCGCGTGTGTGTACGACACAATTTATATAAAGCAAAAACGCACGTGTTTTTTCTTCGAGGCGACCAGCAGTTTTTGTGACGTGATAAGCTGAAGTGTCGCAGACAATTGACAGCTTACGCTGTCACACGGCGAGTAGCGGTCGCGTCGCGTAGCGGGGTAGAAACAGGAGCGACGCACGCAGAATCGAATGCTATTTTATTTATCCCGATGATTCTTTGCTTTGAGAATGACAGCGTCTGCTTGCGAAGCCTGCTTCTTTTTTTACGTGCCAAGCTTCCTCGGCTTCTCGTTTGTATGCCGGCTGCCTAGACGGATTCGCGAAACTTCTCGTTTCTGTCGTAGGCGTGTTCTCGACGACTGATGGGGCCAGTCTAAGGAGCTGGCGTGATCGTATGTGTAGGTGATCGCGACTGTTGTGCTGTTACAGGGTGATGATCTGAGTAGCCTTCCAGATAAATAGCGGTTGTATGGCTGGCTGGCTACTGATGGATGAGGTTGCTACGTCTCTCTCTCTATCTCTCTCTATCTCTCTCTCTCNATATATAGGAGCGCTAAGACTAGGGGCCACCTCTGTATACACTCATTTCACTATTATACGGATCGATGCAGGTGTACTTTCAGAGCATTCTCATTGCCCACGCACCTGTGCAATGGCCAGCAGCTATATTTAAATACACATGTATTGGTGGCGTGTGAGACGCAATCCTGCGTAGCCAGTTATGCTAACCCCAACCATTTGTTCTTTTGCTGCGCGGTCGAACATTAATAGCATTTCTCGCTATACGCCAACTTTGTTGACACTCAGATTAGTGATTGCAGTCATGTGTGTCTTGCAGTGGCCAGTGTTCGCACGTTTCCGATCAAATTGCGTGTGGTAACCTTATTTCTTAAAAAATTTTAATTGCATAGATCATTTTACCAATTTAGAGGTTTTACTTAGTCTGTGATATGTCACCACAGTATAAGTACTAACACGAGATGTTTCACATTCGTTCACCCAGTTCGCACACAGGCGGTCGATCATTGTGAAAAATAGAAAAACTGATATAATATATAAGTTATATAACACACACAAAATATAAAATGTGTTTGAATGCCTACTCAATGTATGTTCATGTTTACTTACAGTTTTGTACATGTGTCCATGTAACTGCTTAACTTTAGCAGCCTTTTCCTCCTCAGACAGACTTGCCAAGTCTGTCTGCCGTGATATTGCTGCTTCATTAAATTCAGTTCTCTCACTCTGTGGCAAGTTTTCCCATTTCTTCCCCCATTCCTGGAATGACTGCTTTCCATCTGAAACATAAAATATAGTCACATTTTAAAATAGAATTGCAGTCGGAAGCCAGCTATAGCTACATATTAGTGGCATTCAATTCATGCCATTACTGTTGTGTAACCTTTTTCAATTACACATTTCATTGTATGGTATGAAAAAAAAAATATCCTAACAATATATGACTTTAAAGGCCAGCGCACACCTAAAAAGATTTTCCCAGAATTCGTTTGTAAAATCGGCTCAGCGCGACGCTTTCCGATAAACACCCTCACACCAATGATAAAATTGATTATTTTGTTCTGCAAGGTGGCGCC